CTCACCGCTCTCTTGATCTCAGCGACTATCGCAAGATTTTCTGCCCGATTTTCAGTAAGGATTTGTAGCGCTGCTTTAGAATTAGTGCAGATCACTGCACCGTTAATGCTTCGTTCAAGGAATCTTAACACCATAACATTGGCAGTTAGACCGCTTGTGTTGAAGAGGCATTGTTCTCAATACGGGCTTTTCCTTCATTTCTACGTTGTAAGGCATTATCCTCGCTATACAGTGTACTGCACTCAGACTAGTCGCCTTCGCTATGCAGTGTACTACACCCATACTAGTCACCATCACAATACAGTGTACTACAACCATACTTGTCCTTGCTATACAGTGTACTACACCCATACTAGTCGCCCTCGCTATTTAAAACTACACATAAGTGATTATTCATCAAATTAATCATTTTCATAAGACCAACTTCTGAAATCTGTACAATATAGAGTTTTGGCTCTATGTGAAGATTTTACATTGCCATCAGCTGAGCATTTTAACGCTTTTATTAATATATATCATTTATGAATGAGCGTAGGTTACATACTAATTAACGTTAATTTGTACACTTAGCTAACTAGCGTTGGTAATTTCGATAGTAGCCTACAAATGTTTATGAATATATTATATTGTTAGTAAATCCAAATTTGTCTTACCCGGCAGTTCACTTTCGCTGATCATGTTCAGATCGCGTTATTCGCGCACATAAAGCAGTTTGTTGTGTGCCGAACAAGATGCTTGTAGCTCGCCCTCGTTGTTTCTGACTATGATAAGTGAGGCAGGTTGGGATATTACCAATCTAAGTTATCTTACCTGGAAACTTGTTATATAAACCTATAACCTTATTTACAAACCCGTATTTATTTACTAATTTTTTTCTTTGGACTGAAATTGATGATTATTGGTTAAATTTTGCGGTCGAATGCGAGAAACGCAATCGTTTTTTTATGGGTTAAGTCAGAGTGGGAAAATGTTGTAAGTGGAGTGTCTCAAGGCTCTGTCCTGAGACCTCTGTTATTCATAATATATAAAAATGGTTTAGAATCCGGTTTGAGCAGCAATATTTGCAAATTTGCCAATGATACAAAAATCGGGAGAGAAATAAACACGGAAGAAGACTCACTATCACTTCAAGACGATCTAAAGAGGGTTTTGAAAGGGTCAAAAGATTGGCAGATGCAGTTTAATGCTGACAAATGTAAGGTTTTGAGGCTAGGTAATGGTGATAGAGTTACAAGATACGAACTAGATGGTGTTGAGATTGCGAAATCGGATTGCGAAAGAGATCTGGGAATTATGATTAGTAAGAATTTAAAACCAAAACATAAATGTTCGTAATAAGGCAAATAGGACACTGGGATTTATTAATTGAAACGTTACTAATAAGACATCTGGTGTTGTTCTTCAGCTATATCTTGCTCTGGTTAGGCCCTATTTAGATTATGCTGTTCAGTTTTGGTCGCCATACTATAGCACGGATATAAATTCACTAGAACGTGTCTAGCGTAGGATGACAAAGGTAATCCCTCAAATTAGAAACCTGTCATATGAAGAAAGATTGACAAAGCTTAAATTACATTATCTTGAAAGGCGAAGAACTAGGGGATTCCCCAGTGCCATTCCAAAAGCTTTCTAAATGGCTTACTAAAATCTTATGCCCATTGTTAGGAACTATTTCCTCTTCTCATTTGACCAATTCCCTTGAGTTAGTTAACAAATTAAATAGTGTTTATATCACCCCCTGATGTGAAGCTAATCAGTTTTGACGTTTGTTCTTTATTTACAAAGGTGCCTGTTGATGATATTCTTGCTTATCTTGCTCATGAACTAATGAATCATGTTTTACCTCTTTCTGCTGATATTGTTGTCAATCTTGTTAAGTTGTGCATTAAAGAATGTAAATTTACCTTTAATAATGAGTATTATTTACAGACTTTTGGAATGGCAATGGGGAATCCTTTATCGCAATTGCTTTCAAACTTGTATATGGAATTCTTCGAAAAGAAATTTGTTTCAAAAATTACCCCTGGAATCATTCCATGGTTTAGATATGTTGATATTTTGTGTATATGGCCTACAGATGTAAACACAGACGAATTTGTAGCTAAACTTAATGATCAAGTCACCTCTATAAAATTTACTATGGAGACTGAAATTGATAAATGTTTGCCATTCCTAGATGTACTTATTCATAGGGAAGATTCTTCACTAAAGTTTAGTGTCTACAGAAAACCTACGAATAATTTATCCTATGTTCATTATTTTTCAAGGCATAGATACAATGTGAAAAAAAATTATTCAATGTATCTAAGAGCTCTTCGGGTTGTTAGTCCAGAATTCTTAGATGAAGAGTTTAAGAATATTGATTCTATTGGTCTCAAGCTTTGTTATCCACTGAGTTTTTTGGAAGTTTGCCGTAGCAAAGCACGTCGTACATATTATAATAATATATGCAGTAAGAAAATTCGCCCAAAGAATGTGTTATGTTTACCATATTTCTCTGGGTTTGAAAATATGGTCAATGCGTTGAAACGTTTTGATATACATGTATTGTTTAACTACGTAAATGCTGTTGGTAAACTATTAGTTAGAAACAGCCCTCGTAGTGATAATTGTGTCATTTATAAAATACCTTGTAAAGACTGTAATAGGTTCTATGTTGGGCAAACATCTAAAGATTTGAAATGTAGAATTTCGCAACAACAGTTTCTTGATGATCCTGGTGATCCATATACTGCAGGTATGTTGACGACATTTTTACACAGGTACCTGATGCCAGATGTCTGCAGCAGCTGAAGGAGGCATTTGAACAGAATTCTGTGTGGAGTTTCACTTACGAGATGGAGAATAATGGGAAGCTGCCCTTTCTAGATGTAACAGTCACGGAAAGGAGCGGAGGCTTCCACACTGCAGTCTACACTAAAGAAACAAACATAGGAATGTGCCTCAATGCCAATAGTGACTGCACAGACAGGTACAAGAGGAGTGTTGTCAACGCTTACGTCGACCGTGCTCTCAGTCACAGCTCAGGATGGAGGCAAGTCGATGAAGAACTCTACAGGGTAAGGCAGGTCCTAGTCAACAACGGCTTCTCTAACGGTTTCGTTGAAGACATCATAAAAAGAAAGGTGAAACGCCATGCAACATCTGAAGAGTCAACCAACACAACACTTGTACTCCCTATTAGACTATTTTACAGGAACGTCTTTTTGACGGCTCATAAAACGGAGGAAAGGGTCCTGGAAGATATTGTTGATAGGAGCGTCATCTCTACAGACAAAAATCCGAAAACACAATTGATAATTTATCATAAAACCAAAAAAAAAAAAACGGCCAATCTACTCATGAAAAACTCTCTAGACAAAAAGCAGAACGCCTTAAAGGAGACCAACGTCGTCTATGCCTTCAAATGCCCACTTGGGAACGTAAGCCCCAAAGAACTTAGTATATAGGCAAGACAACAACGTCTCTTTCCAGGCGACTAACAATGCATAAGCAACAGGGCTCCACCAAGGAATATATAATCTCTTCCCACAACTAGACCATCACCAGAGAAATCTTAACAAACAACACAGAAATTCTCGATAGGTACAGCGATAGCAGGCGGCTCGACATCAGCGAGGCACTACACATCAAAAAGTCAACACCAGCAATCAACAGCCAATTAATGCACAACTATATTCTACCCACTTTAAGACTCCGCACCAATATAGAAGCATCAAGAGGAAGTATGGGCCAATAGGCCCATTGCAGTTACTTCCATTCTTCCCTCTCATTTATCCAATTTATACCCATTGCACCATGTTCTGTCTTGTGTTGGTCAAAAGTTTGTTCACCACATCCAAAACTGTTGCAACATATCACCTCACCCAAATGCGAGTATATAAGACAAGCTGTTCAATGTTAGCATTAAGTAAAACTCTGTTTTCAGGTTACAGTTGTGTGTGCGTAAACTAAAGTCTTTGAAAATGTAATAAGTTATTACGAAACGCGTTCAAGCGTCGCGTCAGACTAGAAATAAAAATGAATTTTGGAGAATTGATTTTTCAATTACCATCGACAGTAAAAAGAAACATAAGAAATATTGAGAAAATTCGTGTTAGAATTATTAATCTAATTTTTCGGTCATATTTAACAACATATATATATATATATATATATATATATATATATATATATATATATATATATATATATATATATATATATATATATATATATATATATATATAAATAAATATATATATATATAAAACTAAATATATATAAATAAATATATAAAACTATATATATATATATATATATATATATATATATATATATATATATATATATATATATATATATATATATACATATATATATACTTATATATATATATATATATAAAACTAAATGTTGAGCTGCAAGAAGCAAAGTTTATGCAATATCCAGCTATCATACTTGTATGTTTGAGTTTGCAAGTCATCAGAGCTTCAGAATTATTTATGGATTACAGAAGCGCGATTATAGGTTTTCTGAAAATGTGAGTTAATTAGATTATAGTCTGAATTTAATGTTTTGGTGTGTGTGTGGTATATAAACGTTTGCGTGAGTGTGAGTGGATGATGCAGGAGTCTTGACCGGTGTCAAGAGCTCACCCCTGGCAACCGCGCGTTGTACCATTTCTCTGAACACGCGGCTCTCAACGGGATACCAATCAGTGTTTTCAACAATCACTACTCCAGTGCACACAATGCCCAGATCGGCAAATTTCACATCAGCTGATTATAACTAGGAGAAAAATCTCAATCTGCCATAAACTGCTGTTTACCGGAGGCGGCCTCGAATTAAGCGCGTCTTCTGGCGAGCTGTTGCATCCCTGTGCTTTTCCCTGAAGGCCCGGCCGCTTCCAGGAAAGTCCTCCAGTATTACCAAAGCGTCTTTCCCTAATCCCTGCTGATATTCTCCTAAAATCGCTGTGATTTCTCAATAAAAATTACATGCGATCCGCCACGAAGCGAAAATATTAGCATATACCTATACGCTGCACGCGATACACGTTTTTTATTGTGGTAATTTATATATTAGGAAGCTCCTCCCACGAGGGCTAGAGTGGCAATGGTGTGTGTATTGCAGTAGACATGTTGATTGTCCCAGGGATGGAGGTGTGAACCGCAGTCCCCTCGCTAATACACAGTAAGTACACTTACATCTTTAAGCTAACTAAACAAGCCAAAAGTTGTGAGAACACTTGTGCTGAGATTAGACATAATTGTTATTTTTTTTAAATATGAACAACAGAAATAGCGAGGGTACATATAATTCAATTTATTTGCATATATATATATATATATATATATATATATATATATATATATATATATATATATATATATATATATATATATATATATATAGTGTGTGTGTGTGTGTAGATTTAATTGATAATGATAATGGTTAAAACTTTAACTTACTTAGTTAAATTTGGTGTTCAATTCTCAACTCATAATAAATGGGCTCCGTAACCTTTCCCAATACCGATGACAGCTTTGATATAATCATTATATATAACTGTGTAGCCATAGCTGACCAGATTGTAATTTGCTTGCATAAATTAATTAATTGGAGTTCAGTTCCTGAGCCCATTATGTGCCTCTACTCATTTTCATTGTACCGCGCACCGGATGGGTTGATTGGGTTCCACTACCGCCCCAGGGATGGGTATGGGTTCCATTACTCCCCCTGGGATGGGTATGGGTTCCACTACTCCCCCTGGGATGGGTATGGGTTACACTACTCTCCCTGGGATGGGTATGGGTTCCACTACTCCCCCAGGGATGGGTATGGGTTCCACTGCTCCCCCAGGGATGGGTATGGGTTCCACTACTCCCCCAGGGATGGGTATGGGTTCCACTACTTCCCCAGGGATGGGTATGGGTTCCACTACTTCCCCAGGGATGGGTATGGGTTCCACTACTCCCACCAGGGATGGGTATGGGTTCCACTACTCCCACCAGGGATGGGTATGGGTTCCACTACTCCCCCCAGGGATGGGTATGGGTTCCACTACTCCCCCCAGGGATGAGTATGGGTTCCACTACTCCCTCCAGGGATGGGTATGGGTTCCACTATCACCCACGGCTGGGATGGGTATGGGTTCCACTACTCCCACCAGGGATGGGTATGGGTTCCACTACTCCCACCAGGGATGGGTATGGGTTCCACTACCACCCACGGCTGGGATGGGTATGGGTTCCACTACCACCCACGACTGGGATGGGTATGGGTTCCACTCCCACCAACGGCCGGGATGGGTATTAAATACATAATAAATGAACAACATCAAGCTCATTGCACGGGTAAATATTGAACAGGACGCATACCAAATGAACTCAACTAAAATGTGCTTAGCATATAACTGAATTATCCGCATAATAAGTATAGTTTGCGAGAGTATAGGTAATGCCACATATCCTTAACAGTGACGCCGGTATATTTATAGAGCGGAGACTAACAGTTGCGCAGTTTATTGAATGGACGATCTATGTGCGTGGTACTGTATGCCCTCGTGGCCACTGCTCGCATATACCATATATGCCTCACCATATATTGCTCTAAATTAGGAATTTTACGATCGTATCCCCTTTATTTTATGACACTAAGAACATAGTTTTTTTTAAATCTAAGATTAGATTAATCAAGCAAAATTTGCATTTGTTTACATTGTTTCATCAGCGGGACTATGTGAGATGTTACCGTTAATAATGAAACATGGCATTTTGTTAATTAACAGACCTGTGGGGTAGGGTGTCTGCACATGACCTAGTTATGGGTATAAGGTCAACAAGGGTCTTAAGAGGTGGGTAAGGGCTGTGGAATACTAGGAAAGTGTGTGTATAGGAGCTCTGAAGACATGCGCTCGACTCTTCAGCAACAGTGCGCTAGTGCCAACTCTTAAATTGCACGTTATTCACATATGAATATTTTGTGTGGGAGAATTTTGACTGTTCACAGGGCTTATAGACTCTCATATTTATACAAGCTAATCGAGCGCCAGCCTTAGGTGTGGCGTAATAATATTGAAAAGTATAGATCTGCGCACGAAACCTGGCACTAGTGGAGTCACGTGACCAGTGCCTGCCATATATGGTGAGATTTCCGCGAAACGTGCGTGTGTTTTGATGAATCGATCTGGGAGAACATTTTCTACTGGGAAACAATCATTGTGTTTGAGATACGGCTGTGACAGCATCCACGGCAGTTAGCTTCGTCTGTAGATGGTGAGAGGTAGGTGGAGGAGCGAGGTGAGGCGGGGGGAGAGGTAGAGGAGAGGGGGCTGTGTGTGGTGGGGGAGGGCGGCCATGGCCCAGTGTGGGGGTGGGGGAGGAGGAGGGGAAGACAAATAAACACAAGAGTGAAGCGGTGTGGTCACTCTCTGGTCACTCTCAGTGACAGTCGACTGTGTCAGCACGGTTGCCTTCACGCTGCCCTCTCCCTACTCTTGAGGTAGGTGCGGGTGGTGCTTCTCTCTCACCACATGTTGTCCCCGCTCCTGTCTCTACAAAGGTCTACCCGGGTCTACCCGGGTCTGCCGTCTCTACCCGGGTCTACCCGGGTCTGCCGTCTCTACCCGGGTCTGTCGCCTCTACCGTCTCTACCCGGGTCTGTCGTCTCTACCCGGGTCTGCTGTCTCTGCCCGGGTCTGTCGTCTCTACCCGGGTCTGCTGTCTCTACCCGGGTCTTCCGCCACCTGGGTCTGCCGTCACGTGGATTGACCTTCCATTTTTTGAAGTGACAAGTGCCGCATGTACTTGTGTTTTGTGTGTGAATAATGTGTTTGGAGAGCCAATAATTCTATGTGATGTGTAGGCTAGTGCCATAGTAGCCTAAGTTTACATTATAATCTACATTTTGCAAAGCAGACAATTTGCATGTGGATTTTAAAGCCTTGCCTAATCAAAACTACCAGTGATGATAATTCATTCATTTTTCATATATATATGAAGAATGACTGGTCATTTATTGCATGGGTGTGAACAATTATTGAACAGTATAGAATTGGTAATACAGTTCTTAAATATACAGTAAATTTACTGATGAAACATTGGGCAATAGACTGACTAAACCATTTAGGACATGTGCCTAACCCAACCTTAGTTAACTTATCCAGAAAAGTGTGGCTAGCTAGGTGTGTAAATTGTAAATATGGTGATGTGATACGTTTTATTGAGTAAGATAAATGTTGGTATACTGTGCATATAGATCATTTTGTACAGAAAATGGTGCTTTAGTGATATGTACTATATATGCAGATTAGAAAATATGTACTTGAATTCACCCAGAAGGCCTCATAACACACTAGTGCCCTCAATGAGGACAGGAAGCCAGTGGCTTGTCAAAGGATCCCCCTTTTGTCCTCTTATTATAGATATTATATACCATTGGAAATATGAACACACACAACCTTTAACCATGGAATTGTGCATAGTGTATTATACAGTACTGTACATTGGATACAGGTTCTTAGAACAATAACAAAAACTTAACATTAGTGCAGGTGTATGAAGTGGTTCATCTGTATGAGAAACAGTTATCAAAGTACAAAAATTATACTAACAAATTCTAGAGTACAGTTATGACCTTACAGTACTTTGAAAACATTTACTTGGAAATAAATTTGAAATAACATAACCTTTACTGACAAAATAATGCATTTAAAATACTGTAAATCATAATACAGTAATGATATATGTTAAACAGTCTCCGTGATGTAGTGGTAAGACACTCGCCTGGCGTTCCGCGAGCGCTGTCATGGGTTCGTATCCTGGCCGGGGAGGATTTACTGGGCGCAATTCCTTAACTGTAGCCTCTGTTTAACGCAACAGTAAAATGTGTACTTGGATGAAAAAAACGATTCTTCGCGGCAGGGGATTGTATTCCAGGGAACATAGGATTAAGGACTTGCCCGAAACGCTACGCGTACTAGTGGCTGTACAAGAATGTAACAACTCTTGTATATATCTCAAAAAAACAAAAAACAAAAAAAAACAAAGTGATTTCTTGAGTAGTTACACGATGAGAGCTACACTCGTGGTGTCCCGTCTTCCCAGTACTCTTTGTCGTATAACGCTTTCAAACTACTGAGGATTTTGGCCTCCACCACCGTCTCACTTAGCTTGTTCCAACCATCTACCACTGTTTGCAAAAGAAAACTTCCTAATGTTTTTTTGGCACTTTAGTTTCCTTAGCTTGAATCTGTGTCCTCTTGTTTGTGAAGTTGCTGGTTTCAGGCGTTCCTCTCGTCAATTTGGTCGATTCCTCTTAGTATTTTGTAGGTGGTGATCATATCTCGTCCCATATCGGACGCCTCCAGCCTCTCCTCGTAACTCTTGTTTTTCAGTTGTGGGAGCCATTTTGTAGCATGCAGTTGCACCTTTTCCTGTTTATTTATGTGCTTCTTTAGATTTAGGCTTAACCTCTATCTTCTTAATCTGCATATTCCAGTTTTGGTCTCTCAAAAGTCATGAATAGTTATTTAGTATTTCACCATCCATATACGTACAGTAATTAAAAGCAAGTCTGAAGTTAGAAAGCAACGCATATGCTCCCTCACAATGTTCTTTGTGTGTTCCACTGGCAACAGCTTACTATTCAAAACCACCCCCAAGTTTCATTCTTTATTGGAGTTTTGTAATTCCTTTCTGCATAATTTGAAGTTGTGTGTGGTCTATTTTCTCCGATTCCACATTCCATAACATGGCATTTTTTCACATTGAATTCCATTTGCCACTTGTCGCTCCATACACTTATTTTTATCTATATCAATTTGAAGGTCATTACAATCATTGTCTCCTATCTTCCCCAGTATTCTGGCATCATCCACAAACATGCTCATATACAGTAATTCTGTATTCCTTCTGGTAGATCATTTATGTAGACAATGAACATTACTGGTGCAAGAACTGAACCCTGTGGTACTCTGCTAGCAATACTACTCCATTCATATACGTACTGGTTTCAATTGACAGGAGTGTCACATGCAATATGACAAGGTCATTTAAATCTAAAATCAAAGTCAAGAGCAAAGACTTGGGGAGCTTTAGGTTTGGTATGTAAAAAAATGGTGTAAAATCATGTTTTGGGATAATAATAACTGTAGCTGTATATTTGTTTTATTCTGTTTGCAAGTAATGTAAGAATTTAACACTTGGTGGTTCCCTAGAAATTAGTCATTGAACATTGGGGTACCGGGTGTCAGTTTCCAACATCCTTGAGGGGCGGGGGGCTAAACACCCAGGAACCAAGAATGTTATTCTGCCCCGTATGGGCCAATAGGCCTTCTGCAGTTACCTTGTTCTTATGTTCTTATATTACTGTATACATACTGTAATTGTACATAACCAAAATCACCATATGAATGGGTGACATGTCTTGCTGTCTAGATACTGGATCTGAGATATCCAGACACTTGGTACATACCATTCTGCCAAGAATTGCCTTTTGTGAAAACCTCCTTGGCAGTAACATGTACCTGCAGGGCTGGATTTAGACATGGTGAGGCCCTAAGCTGTGGGAAGCTGTAGAAGAGCTCTTTGGCAATTGTTAACTGAGAATAAGGCTGGTAGCTACTGAAATTGGCAAGAATGCCACCAAGATGCATAACAAATATTTGTAGAACATGGAAAATATGCCTTTTTACATTCAAGTTGAACATATTAATGGGAAAATAACTAGAAATTCATTGCTATTGAGTCAAATGGCTGAATGTTTTTAATTCCTATGATAAAAATACTCTTGTAAACTTTTAATTTCATGAAAATTTAATTTAATTTCCTATCACATTATTAACACTGATAAAAACCAAAGAAATGAGTTGGTTTACAACTGATAAAACATAACATAACAACATGAACTGATAAAACATTACAACTCGGAAAATATTGATGAAACATTGCAACTGATGAAACGTTACGACTGACGAAACATTGCGACAGTCACAATAACGGGGCTGAAAATATGATGACCAAACCACACGCCAGAAGATTTTTTTTTTTGTTTTTTTTTGAGATATATACAAGAGTTATTACATTCTTGTAAGTAAATCATTCTTATTTCTTTTAAGATGGAGAAATGACAAAGTTTTAGTCCGTCCTGGATCGTTATCAAATTGTGTGTGACTTGATAATGGTCCAGGACGGATTGAAATGTTGGAGAAACAATGTTTCGGTTGGTCCTGGACCATTATAAAGTCGTACCATTATCAAGTCATACAATTTGATAATGATCCAGGACAGATTAAAATGTCGCCGTTTCTCCGTCTTCTGGTGTGGGTTTGGTCATCATTGCGACTGGTGAAACACTGAGACTGATAAAACAAAGAATCGGTTAGTTTGCCGCATTTTCTTTTTTGTTTTTCCTCAGTGGAAAGTCATGAATGATGCCCTTAAAAGATAAGCAGTGCAGTTTATCACTTTCTATGCACATACAGTAATACAAAGTGCATGCAGCTTGTCTTGTCAGTTTTGCTCGCACCTCATTTTTAATTCTAATTAGTCATCTTTCCTCCCTGAGCAGTTTCTATTAGACTTTAAAAAGCTGTAGTATTGCTTTAATATTTGGAAAAGTGAAACGAATCTTGGCTAGGAAGATGACCTGATGCAGATCTTGGTAGCATGGATGTCCTTTTCTTGAATGGTTTTGCTTGATATAAGCACTTCCATGCTTATATCAAGCAAAGATATGATATAAGCAAGAAGTGCTCAGTTCTCTACCGAGATTAACATAAATTTTGTGTTGTCATTCATCAAAAGTTCTACTGCTTCATGCAGCTGCTTTTCCTGAAGCTTCTAAATCAAGTAAAAATGGTAGCAGAATAATAGTAAACTGTTACTCTTCTCTTTTAATTTTGTTTCAAGAGCGTCCATCAGAGTGATGAACGACTTCACTCAAAATTTGTCTTTAGGAGGAAGCTCTCTATAAACATCTGAAGCGGCAGCACCATTGATTTGTTTCGTACTCGTTGTCCTTTCCTTCATACACCTGTAGTCTACATCAGGCAGTCTGCATTTTTGTATATAATTAAATCTAATAAGGATAATTATTAAATAAATCCTACAAACTTGTAAAAATAATGATCTTTTTAATTAGGTCCAATTTGTTAATGTTAGCTGTTGTTAACTAGGTTATGTTTATTAGGTTAAATCATTACTTAAATTTAGAATATAATGAAATTATAACATTGAAAAAATGGAAGTTTTGAGAGACCCTTTCAGACTCTGGCCATAAGGTGTTGCTTGGTTTGCTTTTGCCTAAATCCAGTCCTGTGTGCAGCAACAATTCTTGTGCTATTCTATTTTTAAGAATAACATTTACTCTTTCAATTCATTCTATTAGATCTTTTAATAAGCTCAATAAAGTATAACTATTTTCTGTGGGGAGCCCCGTCGGCTCCCTGAAGCTATCTAAACTGATCTGTGCCATATTAGTTTGGTGTTATTAGTCCCGGGAAGTTCTGTGCCTACTTAGGACTACGAGCCAGAACCTGGTCCCCCTCAGAGAGGCACAGGAAGCAATAGCTATTATGAGCACTCTAAATTTAGAGTACAGTATTGTCATGTCTGCCATTGACCAGGGAGGGCACCCAGAAAGATAGGGGAACCAATACAAACCCCCAACTGGTAAAAATTGCAACCTACGTCCGAACAGAGCCAAGGAACTCCCCGCAAAAGAAAACAAACGAGCAAATCGTCGTCCAACTAGCGTGCTCACTTGTTGGCGACCCCCCCCCCTCCTCCCTTTCGGGGAAGGTGTACATAGGAATTGGTGATCCATGCTCACCTCATATAAATTCCTATGTTCTTGGTGGAAGATGGGGAGGTATAAAATTTTAGTTGGGTAGTGTTACGGCCCTCTTGGGTCGCAACTGGGTTCTTTCTCTGATGTTAGTAGAGCTTGGGTATCCGGCCCCAAGCTAGTAGTGGCTTTCAAGGGGTGTGCTCCGTAACGCAAGTAAATTAAAGGGGAAGGGATAAAACTGCTCAGAAATAAATATATATTCACCACCACCAATAAATAAATATATAAACAGTCACACGCTGTTACTATTACTACACTTATTTACAATCACTTGTCTTCCTCCGAAGACTCAAGACGTTCACGGTGCTCAAGACGAGTGGTCCTGGTTCTCTTGTGGCCTCACGATGAATCCTTTGATTCCCTCGACGAGTCTACCCCGGCCACAGGCCAGCCAAATCACAGTCCCACTGGGGGCACAGTCGTGGAGGCCGTCAACCACAAATCCAGCTTGTAGCTGGCAGGTTCCAATCAGTTCCGCAGGTTAGGCCACTCCACGACCGATACTAGGGTTGCGAGCCCTAGGCAGGAGCCTCGTGTGACTTCACAGATCACTCTCCTCACCACAACACCCCAGTGACTAGTCTTCTCCTCCAGTCAGCCCCGGGTACAACAAATCCTCAACTGCCACGTCACAGGCAGGATAACACAACAGTGTTCATCCGGGGGGTGACTCAACTTCTGCAGCTTACACTTGGAGATTCTACGGCTGCCTCGGGTAGACTGATCCAACTTCCATTACAGCAGTCCCAGGTCGACTCTGTAATCGGACACGTCATCAGTAATAGGGACACTCTAGGGCACCTCACTTACAGGCTTAGATACAAACGCCCACCTATCCACTCCATAGATGGCGTTGCTGTCTAAGCTCCACCTCACCAGAGGTCAGCAGCGGCTGTGTTATGAGCTGATCAGGACGGGAAACTAGCCCTTGTGGCCAGTATATCTCGTCCTCACTAGATGGCGTCGTCCATTTGAAGGGGGTTTCGGGAGCTGACCCACAGATGGCGTGGTCGTCACTGCTCCGGGCTCGGACGCTGGACTCGGGTCCGTAACAGGTAGCAGTATGTTACCTCTGAAATAATTTCTATTGTGGCTTCTCAATAGTGCAGTGGTAGAGCTTCTGCATCATGGCTGTGGGGTCGGCAGTTCGATTCTCCTTTTGCCCAAGTGAATTAAATTATTTCATAAAACACCATGTGCTAAAAAAAAAGAAATTGGCCAAAGTTAATGTTTATTTACTGGGTATATTAATACAGCTTTAATATAATGTCATTGTAAGTCTTATTATATAATTGGTCTTGTTTGATCTACGCAAGTACAGGACTGTACTGTACTGAATTTGATAGTTACTGGCTGCTGATAATATAAATGAGATAACATAAGTGACTTCTGTATAGATAACATAAATGAGCAAGTACTTGGGTACAAGCTTTACATGAAATAAGAAGAAATGATGTAAAAAAAGATCAATTATGTACAGACTTAAAATGAATTATAATAAATGAACTATTATTGTGCATTTTACATTCATGAATAATGTTAATGGTGCAAGTAGTGAGGTAAAGACTACCATTTATACCGGTTTATTCATCAGGCCAGTTAATTAATGTTTAGGCCCATAGCGGGTATTGTAATCCAAGGATTATTCATATTGCAGGTCACAATGTCTTTGTGGAACCGAGCACAGCAGTTGCCTCCAGATGCACTTCGCCAAGTCCAAAATGTTTATGGTGAACAATTCCCAATTGAGGTTCGACATTACCTGGCTGGATGGATTGAAGATAAGATGCAGCAATGGTAAGTATAATCCTGTACAGTATTTGTAATTTTCATTTTATATAATGTCCAGTAGTACTGATCCAATACCCCCTCAAGTACTGTGCATTTAAATTCTTTTATAAATACTGTGGTTTTACTTTTAAGTACAGTAATGTAAATTTAAATGTCATAACTGAATAGGTACTAGGCATGATCTTGAAGTAGTTTACTTATATTTCTTTATTATTTTAAAGTGGGGATGTGTGGAGGTGTAAGTGGGGTGATGGGTGAGGATGTGTGTGGTGTAAGAGGGGTGATGGGTGAGGATGTGTGGAGGTGTAAGATAGTAAGGAATAATGATATACATTATGAAGGTTTGATGGCTATTTGATCACATGTGAGTATGGCATCGGGTCAGATGATAATTTAGTTTTAATACGTAATTCTGTATTTCTAATGAAGTAATTAAACTTGTAAAGTAAAGGTGACTAAAATGAATTTTGCAAATTGTATGTTTACCTGGAGTTTACGCAAACAGTTCTGGAAGTTGTTCTGCTTCCCAGGCCTGGCCTGGGGCCAGGTTTGACTTGTAAGAACTTTGTCCAACAGGTTGTGGATTGGAGTAGCCTGCAGAAACCCACTACAATGCAGTTGGTCCAACACTTCTTGCAGAAACTTATCTAAGTGCTTCTTGAAGTTCATCCTTGTTCCGGCAACGTTCATACGGTGTTCTCTGATTGTGTCTGTGGTATCTCTACTCCTCACTGATTCTATTCTGCATTTCTTTCCATATCTCTCTCTCCATTATATTATTTCTGTTCAAATTTGGTACCTGGCTTTCCAGTATATTGCCTGTATATATTACCGCAAGGTACGTGGTATTTGATTCATCTCATGTCTCCTTTCCAGAGTACATTTTGAGAGCTTTTGAGACAGTTAAGGTTTGCCTCTCACTGTCAGATAGATATATATATATATATATATATATATATATATATATATATATATATATATATATATATATATATATATATATATATATATATATATATATATATATATATATATATAAAATGTCGTACCTAGTAGCCAGAACGCACTTCTCAGCCTACTATGCAAGGCCCGATTTGCCTAATAAGCCAAGTTTTCATGAACTAATTGTTTCTCGACTACCTAACCTAACCTAACTTTTTCAGCTACCTAACCTATAAAGATAGGTTAGGTTAGGTTAGGTAGGGTTGGTTAGGTTCAGTCATATATCTATGTTAATTTTAACTCTAATAAAAAAAAATGACCTCATACATAATGAAATGGGTAGCTTTATCATTTCATAAGAAAAAAATTAGAGAAAATATATTCAGTACCTAGTCGTACCTAGTAGCCAGAACGCACTTCTCGGCCTACTATGCACGGCCCGATTTGCCTAATAAGCCAAGTTTTCCTGAATTAATTGTTTTTCGGTTACCTAACCTAACCTAACCTAACTTTTTCGGCTACCTAACCTAACCTAACCTATAAAGATAGGTTAGGTTAGGTAGGGTTGGTTAGGTTCGGTCATATATCTACGTTAATTTTAACTCCAATAAAAAAAAATTGACCTTATACATAATGAAATGGGTAGCTTTATCATTTCATAAGAAAAAAATTAGGGAAAATAAATTAATTCAGGAAAACTTGGCTTATTAGGCATATCGGGCCTTGCATAGTAGGCTGAAAAGTGCGTTCTGGCTACTAGGTACGACATTATATATATATATATATATATATATATATATATATATATATATATATATATATATATATATATATATATATATATATATATATATATATATATATATATATATATATATATATATATATATATATATAT